TGGTCACCAACAAACATGGCCTCCTCCTTTCTGTTCTGGTCCCTCTACCTTATCTCCCTTGGCCAGAGTGGATACAACTCTTCTCTTCAAGCCTTTGGCGCCGATCAACTCGACCATGACGACGCTGAACTCACCAACACCATAGGGAAGACATCGTCATCCTCCGACGAAAAGTCGAAGAAGAAGAGCTCGTTTTTCCAATGGTGGTACTTCGGAGTATGCAGTGGCAGCCTCCTTGGTGTCACGGTAATGTCCTATATTCAAGACAACTTTGGTTGGGTCCTTGGGTTTGCCATCCCCATGTGTGCCATGGTTTCTTCTGTCTCTCTATTTGCTTGTGGCACGAGGATTTATCGCTATAAGAGAGACGATGATGAGGATCGAGCCGAGAAGAGACGGTTTGTGAAGGTGGTGGAGGTGGTGAAAGCCACAGCTTCTAGACTCATGTGCTGCAGAAATGTCGTCGCCTTCTCCAGTGAAAACTCCGATGATGACGATGTTGAGTTAGAGTAAGAATCAAACCACTCGAATCAAAATTAAAACTTTTAAACTTAGAAGCTGATTATCTGAGATTTTGCAGGCTGCAAGAGAGCAAGCCACTCTGCCATGAAAGCTCAGGAGCCATGAAAGTCATGGAAGACAAGAACATGATTCAAAGAGAAAGATTGTGTGTGCCGGACAAGGTGAAAATGGTACTGCGGCTGTTACCAATTTGGACAATGCTTCTGATGTTCGCTGTAATCTTCCAACAACCAGCTACCTTCTTCACCAAGCAAGGCATGACAATGGAGCGGAACATCGGCGCCAACTTCAAGATCCCGCCCGCCACCCTCCAGAGCGCCATCACCATCTCCATAATCCTCCTCATGCCGTTATACGACAAAGTTTTGATCCCGATCACCCGCCTGTTTACTGGTGCTGAGAAGGGCATCACTGTGATGCAGAGGATGGGCATTGGGATGTTTCTTTCCACCATTGCCATGATCCTCGCCGCCCTTGTTGAAGCCAAGAGGTTAACAATGATAAAAACATCGTTGTCGTCGTCGTCTGTGCCGCTTAGTATCTTCTGGCTCCTGCCTCAGTACATAATATTGGGAATTTCAGACATCTTCACAGTGGTGGGGATGCAAGAGTTCTTCTACTCGGAGGTTCCAGTAAGCATGAGAACAACAGCATTTGCGCTGTACAACAGCGTGTTTGGTGTGGGGAGCTTTTGCAGTGCAATATTGATATCGATCGTGGAGTTAATGACGAGTATGGAGGGGAGGCCGAGCTGGTTCTCCGACAACACGAGGGAAGCTAGATTGGACAAATATTATTGGCTGTTGGCATTTTGCAGTGGGTTGAGCTTTGTATTGTATGTGATTTGGTGTAAATGTTGCAGAAACAGTAGGATCAATGAAGAAGAAACACAATATTGAATTTGAATCAAGCTTTGTGAGTGATGGGTTTTGTAAATATTTTCTGTGGAATGGGATTGTAATGGGTCTTTTATTTCACTGTTTGTTAAATAGGTAGAAATGAGAAGGATTAGAGTTGAGTACTTCAAATGTTTTTCGGTTTTAAAACACGTCTATAAAAGAGGTTTCCACACCTTTATAAGGAATGTTTCATTCTCCTTTCCAACTGATATGAGTTCTCTCAATTCACCCTGTTGGAGACCTAGCGTCTTCGTTGGCACACCATTCAGTGGCTAGCTCTGATACCACTATAATAGCTCAAGCCCATCGCTAGCAAATATTATACACTTTGGCCTGTTATACCGTCAGTCTCACAGTTTTAAAACGGCCCTAATAGTGAGAAGCTAGCTATGATACCACTATAATAGCTCAAGCACATCGCTAGCAAATATGGTCTATTTTGACCTATTACACCGTCAGTCTCACGATTTTAAAACGCGCCTAATAGTGAGAGGTTTCCACACTCTTATAAAGAATGCTTCGTTTCCCTCTCCAACCGATATGGGATCGCAACAATAAGACTACACAACTATTTGCTACCGTTCAATCAATCTTGGAAGGAAAAGCCTTCCGATTTCGTCTGTGAGATAGCAACGATTTTTCTGTTTTTGCCCGGACACTCCCTTTTCAGAAAAAAGAAAGTTGTTTTAGATCAAATTATATGTTCCACCTGTTCAAGCTTTTCCTCACTTCTACAAATAGGGACGATGTTTATGTCTCCAACAATCTATACACCAAACGCCATCCAATCACTCGTTCTCTTCGTTTCTTTCTTTCATGCCAACTCCCAGTCGCCATCGAATCACTGATACTAACATCAAACCAACAAATCTTGAATCACTAGGATGAGCTATTGAACTCTAACCAAAACAGAACCTAAGACTCTGCACCCAATCGTCCATCGCACCGACTAACCGATCGATCTCACTGAAAACATCAAATTTGCTCTTTCTTCTCATCCTCTGATCTTTTCCCCCAACATCTCTACTTCAACATTAAAACACAAAGCAACCTATTTTATTCAAATGTATCGTCTACATAGATCCCATGAACCAAAAATTTGGGTGAGTCTTCCAAACATCGAAAAAAACTTTAGTGGCACAACAATCCATTATCCTTCACCGTTCATGTTTTCGATCTTATAGTTCCTGTTGAAGGATATTCGAGGCGTCCAACATCTACAGTCATTTCCAAGTCCCATAGTTTGTAGCCTTGGATCCTATAATCTACTTTTTCCAGGAACGAAAAATGTAACGGCCCAAGCCCACCACTAGCAAATATTGTCCTCTTTGGCCTTTTCCTTCCAGGCATCCCCTCAAGATTTTAAAACGCGTCTATTAGGGAGAGGTTTCCACACCCTCATAAAAAATGTTTCTTTCACCTCCTCAATCGATGTTGGATCTCACAATCCGCCCCCTTTGAGGCACAGTGTCCTCGCTGGCACTCGTTCCCTTCTCCAATCAATGTGGGACCCCCTAGTCCATCCCCCTTCAGGGCCCAGCATCCTTGCTGGCACATCGCCCGGTGTCTGGCTTTGATACCATTTGTAACAGCCCAAGCCCACCACTAGCAGGTATTGTCCTCTTTAGGCTTTCCTTCTGGGCTTCCTCTCAATGTTTTAAAACGATCTGTTAGGGAGAGTTATCCACACCCTTATAAAGAATGTTTCATTCTCCTCCCCAACTGATATGGGATCCCACCAAAAAAAAAAAAAAAACAATCAAATCATCAGAATGACCCAGGTCTAAGGATTAGAAGAAACCAATGATTGGTAACACTAAATGAGGCCTTTTTTTCTTTGCCCGAAGAGACCCAATGGTGTGAGACATTTGCCTCACTTTAATGAAAAAAAACATTAAAGAAATCACAAAAATATACTAATAGTAATGTTTTCTAGTCCTCAATGTGGAAGGTTTGAAGGACTGCAATTCATGATGTATTAGCATTACATGAAAGAACTTATGTACTCTTAAATCTTCTAACCATACGTGAGACAGAAATACTCCAAGCACCATTGTCATAGAGGCACGAGTTTCATCTAGAAGAGATGTAAACACTCCTAAGATCCAAACGGACATAAGCTTCTAGGCTAAAAGATTGAGCGGCCAAGTCTCAGGACCTTTTTAAAATATTCAAAGGAACAAGAAAACTAAATGAATGAACACACCACCAAAAAAGCTCAACAAGATCAGCAAAGCTTCTTTCTATTTTTTGGTCAAGATAAAACAGAAACCAAATCAGTACCACTCCATTTGAGTTAATCACAACATCATCAGTCTAAACTAACCATACTCATACAGTTTATAAACCAAAATTTACATTCCAGTGGAATTTACCTCATTGATGAGCATCATGAGATTCATGACCATTCACACCCACATCGACTACCGCTTGCTTTGTCTTCCCCAAACTGCTCTCTTCACCAAGATCATCATCATCAGAATCCAAAGTGAACTGACCCTGAAACCCAAATGGCTGCATCTCTGCCCCGACCGGGCGGTACTGCCAAAAATCACTGCCACCTCCATTTCTGTAAGTGATGATTGAATATACACTAATCACCAAAACCACTAGAAGGGCAAGATGGCAATTGAACTGAAGCGTAGCAATAGCTCTGGCTCTGTGATATTCAGAGTGCCCCTTGCATTTTATAGTGTAATTTCCTCTGCTCTTTTGGTGCAAAGAGCACCCATCAGCAATCAAATTGGTGAAAAAAGACAACCCCATTTGTAAGAACCATGTCCCCTGCAGAATCAGCCCAACCCCACGAACAATTTTGGGAGAATTCAATTTGGGGGATTTCAATTCGAACATCGTAGAGATAACACAAATTGTAATGGGAACAAGCAAGAGATCAAAATACCGATTCTCGATTCCACTGGTGTCTTTCCTCTGCAGGTAGAACAACAAAAACTCTTCCACAAAAGCGAATAGCGCGATTAAACTAAGGATTAACGATGGAAGATGAAGTGAATCCTTGAGATTAACCAAAAAACCAAGAATCGAATAGAGCAAGAAAAGAGAAGCAATGGCCAGATTTGGTAACTGGAGGGTGGAACCGACTCGATCGCTCGAGTTCACCGCATCAAAAAATGAAACGAGGGAGTTTAATATGACAAGAAACGAGAGAATGAAGACGAAGATGAAAGAGAGAGACGATGAAGATGAGGGGTTTTTGGCGGTTGACGGCGGAAATCGAGATGGGGTTTGGGCGGCATCGAGAGAGGAAGATGCGTTTGGATTTGGATTTGAATTGGCAATGGAATTCAAGGAAGAGAGTACCTCCCACGCTCCGATCAGAAAGAAACCCCCGCCGGTGACGGACAGGGTGAAGAACCCCATACTTGGATCTCGCCGGCGCTCTGCTCTCGATATGAATCTGTTGAAATGTGGAGAGTCCTTGGACTCTTTTCTTCGTTATTTCCAATCGGTTTGAGCTTTGACTTCGGATTTTTTGTCAAAATTAAAAAAAAATAATAATAATAAAAAATTATGAGAGCCATCACGGACGAATCACGTGTCTTGAATTACGGGATAAATTGTTAGTTCCCTCTCTTCACCGGGAACCAGAGGAGCTACGTCGTCTTCGTCTTCTTCGTCTTCGTTTTCTTCAGTGTTCAATGAAATGTTCATCTTGCAAACCCACTCTTCCTTCACTCTTAAACCGCGGATAGACCAGTCCCCTCCGCCCTTCACCTTCTTCTCATCTCAGCTCCATCCTACCCTCATCGCCCATCCTCCAAAATCCAACCGCTTCCTCCTCCGCTGCTCCGCCGTCGATTCCGACGCCCTCCCCAAATCCGCTATCCAAAGAATTGCCGACAAGCTTCGAAGCCTCGGCTTCACTGAACAACCGCCCGAACCAGTATCGGACCCTAATGCACCCTCTACGCCTGGAGAAATCTTCGTTCCGTTGCCCAATCAACTGCCCAAGTACCGGGTTGGGCACACCATTGATTCCAGCTGGAGCACGCCTGAGAATCCGGTTCCGGAACCGGGAACGGGGACTGCGATTAAGAGGTTTCATATAATGAGAAATGAGTTGGAGAAGCGGAAGAAGGAGGATGGGGTGAAGCAGAGGAAGAGGGAGGAGAGAGCGCCGACTTTGGCGGAGCTGAGCTTGCCTGAGGAGGAGTTGAGGAGGCTTCAGGGGATTGGGATTAGGTTGAAGCGGAAGCTTAAGATTGGGAAGGCTGGGGTTACGGAGGGGATTGTTAACACTATACACGAGCAATGGAGGCGGTCGGAGGTTGTGAAGATAGTGTGTGAAGATCTGTGTAGGTTGAACATGAAGCGGACACATGATTTATTGGAGGTTTGGTTCTTGATTTCTGATTTTAACTGCTTGAAATGATTGTTTCTATTATAATGTTATGAAATCCTTCAAGTCGTCTTTGTAGTTCCTTGTTTTGCTCGGCACAATCAATCTAATTCTGTCTTGTTCTTCACAATCTCAGAGAAAAACTGGAGGAATTGTTGTATGGAGATCTGGAAGTAAAATTATATTATATCGAGGGCCCAATTATGTATATCCTTACTTCTCTGATGAAATTGTGAAACATGATGCATCACAAGGTGCTTTACTGGATTCACATAGTGATGATGATGGAGGAAATAGTAAACCAGAGAGCACTTTATCTAGCATCAATGATGAAAAGTCTGCTGGACCAACTTCATCTGATAAAATGGCCGGTGGGACTCTCATTCAAGGTGTTGGTGCTCCAAACAAAGTGAGATTTGAACTGCCAGGTGAGGCAGAACTTGCAGAAGATGCTGAGAGTTTGTTAGAAGGGCTAGGTCCACGTTTTTCGGATTGGTGGGGATATGACCCTCTACCTGTTGATGCGGATCTTCTTCCTGCTGTTGTTCCGGGATACCGTAAGCCATTCCGTCTTCTCCCATATGGAGTGAAGCCTAAGCTAACCAATGATGAAATGACCTCACTGAGGAGACTTTCTAGGCCTTTGCCATGCCATTTTGCATTGGGTGAGTTGCGTTGATACAAATTCTTTATAGTACGGTCGGGATCGTGTCTTATATTTTCATCATCTTACAGGTCGTAATAGGAACCTTCAAGGGCTTGCTGCTTCCATTATCAAGCTGTGGGAAAAATGTGAGATAGCCAAGATTGCAGTGAAAAGAGGCGTACAGAACACAAACAGTGTGTTGATGGCTGAAGAGTTACAGGTTATTGATACGTCTCTCTCATGAAAAAAAACGGACTTTCATTGAGAGGTTATTGATAAATTTCAATTCTTACAAACAATATGCCTTACATCTTATGTCTGTTGAGTCTTGCTAACACTTGCGAAAACATCACAAGCTCCAGGAATAATGTCACGTAGTTTTTCAGTCCGTGTAAACAAAGAATACCAGGTAGCATGTCTGGTTAAATATGAAAAAGAAATCTGTATGTTCTTCAGACTTAGGAATATAGTGTATGCCGACGGTAAGTTCTTGGAGCAATTTTATTATTTTATGCATCTTTTACAAGCAGATTTTCTTCATGTGCTTATAAAATTAATATTGTCTTCACAGCTGCTAACTGGAGGAACTTTGCTTTCCCGAGACAGGGAATTCATCGTCTTCTATAGAGGAAAGGATTTCCTGCCATTTGCTGTTTCTTCTGCAATCGAACAGCAACGGTACATTCGATTACAAAAAATGAAACAGATGGATAATGCACTATCTACAACGGTGCAGGAGAAGAAACTTGAGATAAATGAACGTGGTCCCACAAATGGAAGTCAGAGCATCACGGAGTGGAAAAGGGTTGTCTCAGAACAGAGAAAGCTGATATCATCTGAGACATCTATGAGAAAAACTACCATCAAGTTGTCCATTGTATGTCTACATTGATAATGCTGCAGCTAAGTAGCTAACAACTTATGGTTTCTGAATTACAACTTAATGTTACTACTGAACAGGCATTGGAAAAAAAAGCAAAAGCAGAGGAACTTTTAGCGAAGCTGGAGGAAGAAGAGATGCTCCGACAACCGGAAATAGATAAAGAGGGAATAACTGTGGAGGAAAGGTATATGCTGAAGAAGGTTGGCTTGAGAATGAAGCCTTTTCTACTACTTGGTCAGTGATGCAAATCTAGAACGGAGGTTTTCATTGGAAAGTGTCATTTCAAATTGATCTTTCTTGCAGAAATAAACTCATTGAGTTTGTTTTATATTTTCCATACACACAGGTAGAAGGGGCGTTTTTGATGGAACAGTTGAAAATATGCATCTTCACTGGAAGTATAGGGAACTTGTGAAAATAATTACTAATGAGAGAAGTTCTAAAACTGTTCATGATATTGCACGGACCTTAGAGGCAGAAAGTGGTGGAATTTTAGTTGCAGTTGAGAGAGTGAACAGGAGTTATGCTATCATTATATACCGTGGGAAGAATTACAAACGGCCCTCACGTTTAAGGCCTGAGACACTCTTGAATAAAAAAGAGGCATTGAAGCGATCTATAGAGGAACAACGTCGAAAGGTGAGACAAGATTATTCCATTTTCTTGCATGTGTATGTATCTGTTTCCCGTTCTTTTAATCTTTTCCTGGACCCCAAAGAATATAACCATATAAACAAAGAACTCGAAGGATATATTCATTTAAGTAAAGAACTCTCCATGAGATTACTAAGGAATTGGTTAAACTGATGCAACTATGGTAATATATGGTCAAGTATTGCTGTTCTTCAATGGAGTTATATTATCGCTAATTAGTCCATACAATGATGATTAAGGTTGATTGGATTCCAGTTAAAACTGATGCAACTAAAGAAAGGTCCTTTCTGTATATATGAATATGTTTTATTTTCTATCTCCCTGTCTTAAGAACCCTGACAATCAGGGTCATTTTTTTTTATGAGCTGCTCAATTACTCACCAGAAGGATTGGCCTCGTCTTGAATCTCATTTTATACGGGTGTATTCCAAGCACTTCAAGGTGACAATCTTCTTCAGCCACGAGTTCATGAAAAATAGCTGAATTTCTATGGTCAGCATTGTCACTGCGCTTGTATTGAAAGATGTCATGCTTTTTTAGGACAAGTTAAGATGTGAAAAAGATATCATGGATTTAGTGATCTTCCTTGTATCTAGATGAAAAGCAGTATATGAAGTTTTATATGAATGACAATTACTTAGGCTCTGATTCATGCGGTGCTTATGGGAGGATGTCTCATTCTCCTTTTCTGTAATAATTTTTGTTGACTAACATAATTGTTTCTTATTCAAAAGAAACAACTTACTATTATCTCTCCTTCTACTTCTTATTCTATTTGTTGCTGTGACATTGCAGTCATTGAAGCTTCATGTTTTAAAGCTTACACAAAACGTTAAAGAATTGAAACTTCAATTGGTGAGTTGCATTCAAATCTGCATACTCTCTCTTTGGTTTTCTTTTTCCTTTCCTATTTTTCCTAGCAATTCTGGTTGAGTCCCATAACTCTCAGGACAAAGACAAGAAAGCAATTGGTATGGAGTCGATAAAGAAATCAACGTTTCAGCAGGTGAGCCGTTTCTATACGTTTTCATATACAGGACTTGTCTTTCCCCCTAATAATAATTAGATTGGTAAATTAAACAAAAAGTTTAATTCATTACACGTATTACTGCGATTTGTGTAAATATAGGTTTGTACGTATGTTGATTCTGTGGCCTTTTGGTGAACCTGTGTTTGCTACTGTCTTAAGAAATATGCATGGGTTTATTCAGAAGTGGCTTACGAATTATCCACTGGCATGATTGTATTAGGCCATGGTCAAAGGGGGTAATGCAGCTCATACGAGTGGAACTGTCTGTTTGGAAACTTCAATAAACAGTCTACAAGCCACTCAAAGGGATAGTGATATCTTTTTAACATCTGATGGTGATCAGACTAATGCCGAACTGAAATCTACATCTGAATCGGTTAGGCAAGGAAACCTCACAAAAGTGTCCGTGGCTGAGAATGCTGCATTTGGAAGTATTGAACCTCTATCAGTCGCTAATTGTTTGGTATGTTAACAATTATTTCTATCAATTCGATTGTTTTTCTTGGTATAGTTGCTCACACAATATAGCGGCTAGAATTCCAGTCAGGAGAGAATAATTCTGGAACTTCAGATGCCGTGCATCTTATTGCTTTGAATAAGAAGATGAAGCCATCTGTTAGATTGGAAGAGGAAACACTAGCAATGAGGATGAACCAACCAGGTCAGGTTCCTGCCAGAGCGCCTCAACTCTCCAACAAAGAGAGGCTTCTTCTACGAAGGCAAGCGCTCAAGATGAAAAAACGTCCCGTGCTTGCTGTAGGTAACTCATGCTTCCATCTTTTCCACTGTGAGTTTTGCCTTGCAACTTTTAAAGCCAGATATTAGGAGATGCAGTTGGACACAGCTTAAGGAACTTAGTATTAGTAACTTAGTTTCTTCATTTCCATGGACGCTTGTTCAATTTGTTAAATGGCCTCTATTAATTTTCAGGCAAGAGCAACATAATTACAGGAGTTGCAAAAGCAATCAAGCAACATTTTAAAAAACACTCTCTTGCTATAGTCAATGTGAAAGGCAGAGCCAAAGGAACATCAGTCCAGGAGATTGTTTTTAAGCTTGAGGTTAGCACACCCAAGTCTTCCCTCTTGTTTGTGTTTCTCAATGTGGAAATGAATTTAATGCTTTAATATTTGTTCACTAAAACTGCCTTTCCCTTCGCTAGCATGCAACTGGTGCAGTTCTAGTCTCTCAGGAGCCCAGCAAAGTTATTCTTTACAGGGGTTGGGAGGAAGAAGATAAATCCCAAGATAGAAAACAAAGCAAGGGTGAAACTCAACTCTCTATGTCTCCTGAACTCTTGGCAGCTATAAGGGTTGAATGTGGATTGCGGTGAACTGAAAGAAAGGTCAGCTCCTCGTGAAATTCTAGCTTGTCTCTCAGGTATTTCTTTAATCCTCACAGTATACTTATTCTAACCTGTTATATGGCACGCCTAAATCTTCACTTCATAGAATTGACTGTTAGATTTACTTTTTACAAGATTAAACACTGGTTTTTTTATAATCGTGTTTACTTCATTTTAAGCCAGTGGATGAAAATAATCTAAAAAGCATTCGATAATATTATCTTACGTTTTTATAACATCCAAGATCTGGTTCTACATGTTAAGAATTCATCCAGTTGTAAAATATGAGTCAGGAAATTATTTATTCAATCATACATGCTATGCTATGCTAGCGTATGTGTTACTTTACAAGTAACCATAAAGATATTAATTTTCTTGAGTTGACATATCGTATCAGAGCTGTTACTTGAAGAGTTTCTGAATGATGAAACCTCCAGTAATCAACTGGCATTCTTTGGCTCGATATTCGTGGTGGCAGACGTTCGTAACTGGTCTCTTTTGCTACTTGTCAATGTAGCAGGTAAGATTTAAGAATGAATCTTGATGCATATGTAGATTGATAACTGATCTTCAATGGCATTAATTATTCAATTCTTTCTAATGTTGTGTTCTTAAAATTCAATTATTTCGTATGCATTATGTTACTGCGAAGTGAACTGAGGGTCGGTAACGGTCCAAGTCCACTGCTAGTTATCTTCTTTGGGCTTTCCTTTCGGGCTTCTCCTCAAAGTTTTAAAACGCGTCTACTAGAGAGAAGTTTCCTCACCCTTTATAAGAAATGTTTCGTTTTCCTCTCCAACCGATGTGGATTTCCAAAATCCACCTCCTTGGAGGCCAGCGTTCTAGCTGGCACACCGCCCGCATATCTACTAGAGAGAGGTTTCCACACCCTTTATAAGAAATGTTTCGTTTTCCTCTCCAACCAATGTGGGATCCTAAAATCCACCCTTAGGGGCCAGCGTTCTCGTTGGCACACAGCTCGGTGTCTAGTTCTGATACTATTTATAACCGTTTAAATTCACTGCTAGCCAATACTGTCCTCTTTGTATTACAGGGCCAATATATGAAATGTTGACCCGTGCATGATTCCCGTTTCTTAACTTCCACTTAGATATTTGAAGAATCTCTTTTGCGAGGGGTCATTCAGTGAAAAAAATGCCAGGTTTGAAGAATCTTTGATTTGTCTTGGGGGAGGGGATTGAACGAAACATAGAGAATAAAGTGAAAAGTTTTAAATCATAGGGACCAAAATAAAAATGAAGCACAATCCATAGGGAGCTAAAATGGGGGATTGTTGTAGAAGATTTAATGGTATTACTGGTATAATTTAATAGTAAGGTCAGCTTTAATAGTATTTATTTTTATTTTATTAAGACAAGTACTTTTAGAAAGAGGGGTTGAAATTTATGACCATTCTTTATAAGAACAGAATGGAGGAACAGCGACCAAAATCTAATGGTTCATAAATTAATTTCCCTCTAGAAAGCAATCAACAAGCTTTAACAGATGGGGAAGACCCATTAGCCGCCGTCGGACGTCCCCTTTTCCCACAATCGCCGCCGTTCCTCAATTCCAAAGCCGCCATAAACTTCTCATTCCACCGCCCTGTATCCACCCGTCCACAATTATGCTCCGCCGGAAACCGGTGCTTCAAACACACCTTCAAACGGCAGGTTTTACACACACAAGTATTGGAAAACGTAAGAATTTCCCGGCACCGCCTCGCTGAACAAGTGGGCTTTTTCTTCTTCCTTGGATCGCAATCTCCTGATTCGTGATGCCTCTCCAAAATCCTGCTCTCGTCGCCGTCCTTCCCGGTGGTCTCGATCGACATCGAGCAGATTTCACAGACCACAACTTTTCTACTGTTCCGATCAGATTTCGGGCAGTCGTGGGATTTGAAACTGCGATGCTCCAAACAGAACACCTACAAATTCAAACAATTTTCAGAATAAAAAAATCTCAAAAACTGAAACCAGAGATAAACAAATCCTAGAGAAACAAGAATTGGGAATTGGGGATGAGACCTTTTGGCAACCGTCGCAGGTGAACGGAAGGAAATCGAGTTGGTGGCAATCGGAGTGCTGGCAGTGGCGGCCAAGATCAGGGAAAGCCTCTGTTCCTCCAGCGGCGGCCATGGTGGTTTCTTCGTCGGAAGGTCTTCTGATTTGGAACTGAAAAAAAGGATTAGAAATAGAGATGAAATTGTGGTTGCAAATTTGGTTTGTTAGATGTTAGAGGAGGAGAAGATTATGATGAAATTTGGGCTATTTATAGGATTCGAGTTGACTTGAGAAGAAAGTTAAGGAATTGGAAACTATTTTAGAAGAAAATTAGAAACCTCTGGATGAACGGCGGCGGAGATTCCTTCTTCCGAATCCTACGCGGTGTAAACGCGTAGCTTTCTCCGATTGGGTGAAGGGGCTTTCGAAAAAAAATAAAAATTAATATTATTTAATATGCATTCTCACAATTCATCGACCTAGAAGAAGATTTGCAATGCTGCTACTTTGCATTACATTGATACATGATGAGAGATGAAGCTGTTATTGTTCCATTATTTCAGCTAATATAGCATTATTAAACAATAAATTTCTTATTGTTTAATAATACAAGGAGCAAAATTATCCACCAACTTTTGGTCTACTTTTCATCCATTTAAGTCATAATTGATCATCATAATAATTTGAACCCACATGTAAATCTTAACTTAACAAGAACCAAGTAAGTTTCTAACATCAAATCAAATCAACTAAACCTCAGCTTGACTTGACACTATTTTCAAATCAAATCAAATGCATTTTTCTTCCAAACTTGATCTAGATTTAGTTAATAAACTACGAAACAAGTAGCAAGCAATCACTGGTATAAATTTATTAAAAAATTCAAACTAAGCTCTTCCCCCACCATAGCCTTGAAAGCTTAGACAAATAATAGATCTTTTTAAAATACATAAAACCCATCTGGCTCATCAATACTTCTTGACCTTAAACCATTTGAGGCAAACTAAAAAAATAATGATGGAGAATAAAGAATGAATGTATAGACTCCATGAACTTCCAAAACTAATGATTTTTCAGGTCAGAGAAATTCCAGCTCAACAAATGATGCATATGGAAACAGATGGCTGGAAGAGACAACCAAGCAGAAAAGTCTAACAAGCAATCAAAAAGAACATGCATGAAAAGGAGGAAGTATGTACATTTTTCAACAATATGCTAAAAAACAGATATTCATCAGCATTGATGCTTTGCTGGTCTTCAAGCTCTTTTGCTTGAAGCAAAAGGTTACTACCACAATTCAAAGTTCTAAACTATTCTTTCTTGCACCAACATTGAGGCAGGATAATAAAAGGTGTAAAAAGATTATATGCAAAATCAACCAAAAAGATCCATGCTATCGATAAACTTACTTGCCTGTTCAATCATTGTCTGGCGTATCTTCTTCCATGTGAGCATTGCCATCTCAAAAGATAGAAGCCTGAAATAGTTAACAAAACAACCAAAAGCAGTACCCAATCTAAAAGGGTTTTGATCATATCATAAAGTTTCAGTTTCAGAGTGGAATATAACTCACATGGGCGTTAGGTGGAATGGATTGCTTAAAGCATATTCTTCGGCATTATTTAAGGTATTAAGTATTTTGTCAAAGTTTTGAGAAAGTGGAAGAAAAAGGGTCCTTCAATTCTATTTCTTTCTGAGAAACCAAACAAACAGAGAGACAGCTTTCGAATTTGAATTCACAACCTCAGTTTCCAAGCTCCTGGAAGTCTAAATACCATTGATTCTTTCCTTCCTAGGTAAGGAACAAGCCTCATTCATCCATTTCAAGTCATTGATCCAAAATTTCAACTCTCATTTTATTTCTCCTTCAATCCACAATCGAACAATCGGTTCAAATCAAATCTTAAGAACTAGCACCATGATCAATACTCAAATCATGAACAGGAGTTACGAGACATAGAATCAAGAGAAGGACATTCTTTATAAATGAAGTGAACTGTGAACTCTCCCACCCCTCTACAAGGCTACACATCATACAGAAGCTGAGCAACACAAGTACACAACCCCACTAGAAGAATACAAAGTTTACAACCAAGAACCCAAACAATCAAACATGTATATATTGGCTCAGATATCACAATTGATGCGGAAGTATACAGATTTTTCATATGCTCATAATCAGAAAGAACCAAATGTAAATGATCTTGATTTCAACCTGATGGAGTCTCCAAATTGAATCATGAATAACAGATGTCTCCGAGTTTAATTAATAGCATCACACTTATGTCGAATCTCCCCTTGATTCCCCGTGATAACTTTATAATTACTCAACTTCTCCATCGCCCGAGCAAAATCCTTGAAGAACTTGTTCTCATCCGCCGCATACGCCTCTACGAATGGCCTCGTCCTCCAATCACTATACAACCCATGATCAGACTTCAAGATCCCCAATCCCCTAGGAAGATTCTGGAAGTAAGAGTTATCAAACTTGTTGGGAGTCATAATGTCATTGAAAACCGATAATGTAGGATTTTTTTCAAAACCAGAACAAGCCTTCTGCAACCCTTGCGCTAATCTAGGGTTATACTGCGTATCAAACGACGACGACTTGCTATAATTATAGATCTGAGAGCTGAACTCCTTACAATGGGAGAATCCAATCGTATGAGCACCACTTAACGCCACCATTTCCTGCACGGTAAACCCCCGCGCTTTAAAAATATCAATAATCTGAGGAATAGGCGAGGTAGCTTTCGGCAGAGCACCAGGAATCGTCGAAGCTTTAGACACACGGCTATCCCTGCGACCAAGGAGAACGTTGTAGTAAGGCCCGCCGACCATGGTGACGAGGTCGCGAGTGACAACGGCGAGGATGTCAGCACAGGAGACGGTATTGGGACATTCAAGCTCGAGAGCGGTCTTAGCCCGTACGATAACATCAAAGGCGTCGCCGGGGAGAGAGAGGTTGATATCGGCATCGCGCTCGGCTTTGTTGAAGGGAGTGGATGAGATGAGGACGGAGCCATCACAGCCGTTGGGAAGACAGTCATGAAAGAAGAGGCGAAGAGTTCCGGCGGCAGTGGAAGGACTAGTGATCTGCTTGTTGGTGACGGTTTCTTGGATAATCTGGCTGAATCTCGGACAGGATTTCCGGTAGTAATCTGCCGTGAGAGGAGCCGATTCCGATAGGGACAAAAACAACGCCGTGGAGAGAAGAACGAAAAAAAGTTTAAGAATCTCCATGGCTCTCTCTCTCTCTCTATCTCTGAAGAAGAATGGTTTCATTGAAGTGAAGCCGTAGAAGACGAGAGGTTTTACAGAGGGAAAGAACCCGCGCAAAACGGCGTCGTAGTTGAAATCCACGCGCCTCGATCTGGACCGCTAATCACGGACCGGGTGGGACCCAGCGGTACTTTTATCGACTATTAAAATAATTTAAGTTTGTGGAGTTTTCTTTCCGGAGAATCGTGAAGGCAAGGAATGGACAAATGGGAGGACCCCACGTGGAGGTAGATAACTACAATGACGATAATACCCTTGAGAATTAAGAATGAAAAAAAAAATGATTGGATGAGAGTACTGATAAAGATGAGAATGGGTGCAGGGGATAAAAGTTCGAACGTAAGTGGGAGATTTTAATGGGAGCACGAATATATGGAAATGAGTGAGTGAATTATATATTAAAATAAAAATAAAAAAATAATTAAATAAAAGGACGCGTAATGTAATGTATTTTTTTTTTAATTATTTGAGAAATTTGAGCTGGCCCCCGTTTTTCTTTCTTTTTTTTTTTTAAAAAAAAATTCAAATTTATCCTTTAAACGTATCAGTTTATTCCAATCTATCCATATTTAAATAATAAACTTTTAATTTCCTCCGATTAAACCTCTATCTTTTATCTTAAACTTTAAAAATATTCTAATTCTTTAATAAAATTTTGTTCAAAGTATTTTTTTTAAAGTTGTGTTTAAATAAATTATAAAATATATGTATGAATTGAAATAGATAAATAATTTAGACAAGATTTTAATATATTTTTTGACACAGTTATTTAAGAGTAAGAACTTTGGGCGTTAGTATGGAAAATAGAAAATTTTAGTTTTTTTTTTTTAAATAAAATTAAAGGAAGGCGCAGGCGTACCGCGTGGCTTGGGCTTGGCGCGTTAGATCACGTGCGGGATCGTGCCAGGACGCGAAAATATGAGCGAGCATCTACGCTCTACGCACCTCTCATCTCATTGAAATTATAAATTTAAATTTAAAAAAAAAAATGGAATGTGTCGGTTCTATTTAATTATTAAAAGAAACAGAATTATTAATTCTGTAAATTTAAATAATTTATATTTTGAAGTGATAAATTGTTGGATTTAGATTGAGAAACTCTGTGTTTCGATGCTATATTTTTTTTTTTAAATAATAATACTATGAAATTAAAAAAATGTCGAATTAAAATTCATTTTTTTTAAATTCGTGACCTATTAGACACGAAACTATAACAATGTTAAGGATAGTTGAGAGAGTTACATTTGCTAATTTAGGAAATGTTCATGAATTTATAAGTAAGAAATATATCTCCATTCAAGTGGTACGAGGAGGCCTTTTGGGGAAGCCCAAAGAAAAATCATGAAAACTTATGCTCAAAGTGGAGATTTGTGATTTCTAACATGGTATCAGAGTCATGCCCTTGGTCAATAGAATCCCCAAATATCGAACATAGAAGTTGTGGGCCCAGAGATCCATGATTCCTAACATGGTAATAGAAACCTCGAGTGTCAAACAAAAGATGTATTTTGTTCGAGGACTCTAGAGAAGGAGTCGAACCTTAATTAAGGGGAGACTGTATAGTGTACATCTCTATTAGTATGAGATTTGTAGTGGACAATATCATACTACTATGAAAAGATTTCGTGATTTCTAACGTACAACGTACCACGAATCTTCCATTGATATGCCGAAAGCTTCCTTATTTATGAAACAAAGTAGATATAAGCTTCCAATGACAAAATTAATGGCTAAACATATGAAGAAGTGAGTTAAGGGATATCTAACCTCCCATTGGCATACTCTTTATACTCCTCATTCCTCATCAACATCGTGAGGACAGAGTCATGGCCATCTCCCACGATCCCATCATATTCATCCCACCATCTCATGAAGCTGCTCTGCGGCAAGAAAATCTCAGAAGAAACCCCATAGTTCTTCATCAATTCCACTACATATTCCTCAAATTCCTTAAGCTTAGCTAACTCTGCTTCCTTCTCTTCTGCACTGCTATCCACCATTCTCAGCACTTGGCATGCCACAACAGCCTCCTCCACATGTGCCCAAAACAAAGAATCCACAGTAAGTATGGAAGAAACAGATTCTCTTTGCGTTGAGCTAGACTCAGGAGTCATGGACTCATTGTACCATTCTTCCAGCTTCCTGTAATGCTTTGGCCTATGAGCTTTGTAGTTCTTCAACCCCTTTCGGTAGTGTTCGGCGATGTCGAGCGGTTCGACCATTCGTCGATAGTTCGTCCCTCCGAACAACAATCGTACGTTCAGTGGACTCCCCTCCTTAACTGGCTTCCTCTCTGCCTCCTCTACCTTGTTTTCCCAGTAAACTAGTAGGATCTTCTTGAACTCGGCCACTTTTATGTCGGGTTCGGTCCTTCCGTTCTTGTAGCTGTCGTAGTAACCGATACTCTCTGAGTTACACTTCTTCTTGTACCATTCTAGTTTTGCCATGTTTATTTTCACGTCATTTAAAGTCTTGGCAAAAGGGTTTGTCTTTTCGAATATCATGTTCATCTCGTTGCCTTGCAGTGCCATAGCGAGCCTTCTAACATCTACTGCTCTCTGTTGCTGCTGCTGCGCCTACAATGATTTCACAATGATAATCTAAAATTTGTAAGGCCCAGTTCCTCTCACATACGCAATTTATAAATTTTTGTGAGCTAATAGCGTCGAGGATCGTTAGAAGGGAGTCCCACATTGGCTGATCTAAGTAAGGAATACATCTTCATTAGTACGAGGCCTTTTGGGGAAGCCCAAAGCAAAGTCACGAGAGCTATAGCTCAAAGATGACAATATCATACTATTGTGGAGAGTCGTTATTCCCAACATAGTATCAGAGTCATGCCCTTAACTTAGTCATACTATTTGAATCCTCAAGTGTCGAACAAAGAAGTTGCTAGCCTCGAAAGTGTAGTCAAAAGTGACTCAAGTGTCGAATAAAGGAAGTACTTTGTTCGAAAACTCCAAAGAAAGGAGTCGAGCCTCGATTAAGGAGAGGCTGTTCGAGGGAGAAGAGTTATTATTCATAACAAATAGTACTTAGCTACGACTTACTTGATCGGGAACAACTCCGATGGCTTCAAGTTGTGCTATAAAGCTTGCTGGCCAGGACTCTGAATTCTCTGTGATCAACCTTGTGGTAGCCTTGAGATTTGCCTGGTCTATCAAACGATGAATTGTTTCTTTATAATCAAAGAAGGAAGAGGCAGTAAGATGAGTATTAGCTTTGGTTGCCTCTAACAGTTTCGAGGTCGATTTCGGGTCTTCGAAACAAGAACAACCACCGGATTCGGAGCAGAATAAGAAAGTACCAAAGGGATAGTAAGCTTTGTTGTTCAAAAGGCTTGTAGGAAGAGGGTCACGGTTGGAGACAACATGAAGGAAGCAAGAAGACCATGTTGAGAACTGTGAAATGGCGCTTTGAAGGGCCTCATTGCCTAATAGAGGGGAACCAAATGTTATACAGAGAGGGCGTTTGGCCTTGGTGAGATCTATGGAGTCAAGAAGCAATAGAGTGAAGAGAGAAGCAACAGATCCTCCTAAACCATGTCCTGTAATTATTAATTGGGTCTTCGGATTGGATTTCAGCCTTGAAATCTGATAATAAAAGTGCCCAAACCAATCAATACAAGTTCTTATACAGATTAGCCACAGAACTTTCAAATATTAATTAAAACTAAGAAAATGATATCATAATTGTAACCATTCCAGTGCACCGCTAACACATATTGCGCTTTAGTTTGATCAGTCTCACGGTTTTTAAAACGTGTCTATTATGGAGAGGTTTTTAACCCTTAAGAGAAATGCTTTGTTTTTTTTTTTTCCAACCAATGTGGGATTTCACAATCCACCTCCTTAAGGCCCAACGTCCTCGCTGGCACATCGGTATCTGACTCTAATACCATTTGTAACAGCTCAAAATATGGTCCACTTTAGGCCGTTACGTGTTGTCGTCAGCCTCACGATTTTTAAAACACATTTACTGTAGAGAGGTTTCCACACCTTTGCAAAGAATGTTTCATTCTCCTCTTTAACCAATCTGAAACATCAGTGATTCGTACAGAGAAAAATAGAGGAAAGCTACTCAATTTTAAATTTTAATCTCATTTTTTTCTTTAATTTACATTAATCTATGCGTAAAAGAAATTGATTACCATTATTAGATAAAAAAATATATATATATTATTATTTATATTTATTATTTTTTTTCTTATAAATTATTTGTTTGAAAATAATTATTAATATTAATAGCTAAATAGATATGTTATTTAATATACTTATTAATTAATAAAAATTCAATCAAAATTTAATTAGTTAAAATAAATTAACTAACAATAATTAATTAGATAGTCAGATAAGGAAATATAATTGTTAGAAATAATTAACCAAACTAAAAAAGATATTAGTTATTTATACTTAATTTATCTTATCTTAAATAAACTTAATTAATTAACTGATTTTAACTTAGAAAAATATTATAATTAATTATTTAATATAATAAATTAATAATAATTTTTTAAAAATATATCTAATTTATTATCTAAGGAATTATTGAACAAATGAATTAATTGTTTATTAAAATTTATTTTAATTATCTAATATAATAAAATTGTTGAAAATATTTATTTACATTCTATTTTACGTAAAATCGTTACTTCTTACTTTACAAAACAAAATATAATAAAAAATATGAGAAGAAGAAAAAGAAAAAAAGAATACCTCTTGTTCGTAGACAGGATAGAAACGCCCAAAGAGGTCGAGCGCAGCTCCATTAATGGCGGAATCCGAGCAGCTTTCGGAGTAAAGAAACTCAAACGCAGTAAACTCATCCTTGAGATCCGAAAGCGAAACCAGGTCTTCTCCTCCTTCTTCTTCAAGTGGATTTTCCGAACAGTTCGGAGTAGTGACAAACGCGAGGATCTTACAGTTCGATCGCTCATTGTAATGTCCAAAAAAGGCCAAACACTTCGATTCATCGGCAGTAATTACAGTACGAAGCTTCGTAATCGCCTTCCATGAATGATCGAGCAAATCTGAAGTCGCGATTAAATTCGCGATTTCCAATCCGTTGCTGAATCTGTACGGAAAATAACCTAAATCAGCCTATACGGAGCACGATTTTGGGGAATCCGGATATCGTAATAAAAAAAGAAGCGGAAAATCAGAAGGAAACAGAGGAAGTGTAAGATAAGATCCAGTTTGAGAAAGTGAAATTTGGTTACCGTTGAGGGTTATTGTCGGCCATTAATAATCGCCTCCGGGGAGTTTCAACGAACACAGAGCAGAGTGGAAAATCAGTGGTCTTCTCAGAAGAATCGGATTCTGTAAGTATCGTAATTAGGTTGTGTAAAATGGGCTGGCGCGTCCCGGTCACCGTCGCGTCGGCTATACTTTATTCTTTACATTTAATTAATACAACAATAATAATAATGTCAAAATTTTAATTTATAGTTTCATTTTTTTTTTTAAGTGAGAGTCATGTTAGATGAATACATTGTCCACAATGGTATGATATTGTCCACTTCGAACATAAGCTTCGTACCAATAGAGAGTGTTATTTAATTATAAACCCATGACCATTCTCTAAATTAACAGATGTGGGACGCCTTCATCCAACAATATCTACTAATGTGGGACGCCTTCATCCAACAATATCTACTAGCTTTCATCGTGGTCATCTCTGAACCACATTCTACTAAAAGAGGTTCCACTCTAATATCATATGTTTGGTACGTAATATTCTTATGCAACATGACCACATTAACTACTTGTCAGTAGTCTGGTTTTCATGTGACATGATGAGGTTCGGCGCATAATCAATATGTTTGTGATCGACGTCAATTGTGCCTAAAATAAGTCGACTAATCACCTATACAATTTACATGGCTAAGAAATTTCATTAAATCTTCCCGACGTTTAATATTAACTAATTTGAAACTTTGTAATCCTTCTTGGATTGAGAATGACATTTTTATTAGCAAATATAGATCTCCATATTTCCATCAACATATACGAATTATGTCGGGAAGGAGTAAATGGTCCCTTCCTACACCTGCAAAGTGATGGGTGTTGGTAAGGTGGGTCTGTTTATTCCATATGCTTGTTTCTGATCCTGAGGCCACTAAGATCTTCTTGATAATTGGGGCTCACCATATCTCCATCAATTCATTTGAATAATTTTAAGAAACAATGTCAATACCAAACACTAGATAGATTAATCAATATCATAACATCATTATCATACATCATATTCAAACACTCAAGAACAGAGCATATAATTATGATAAACTGTGGCCTAATCCTCTATGTTCTTGAGTAGTTCCAAAGAGCCTTTTGGAAAAGTAAAAAAACCAGTGATTTTCTGACTCTTCTCCTTGCAGAACAAAAGCCTTTAAAAGAAGATAAAGAAATAGACGCCATGTTTGTTTGCTTGTGATGGCTTAAGGGCACTTGGGTCTGTTGCCATGAGTAGTCATGTCAGTGTAGCACTTTCCACAGACTTCCCTGTTGCCGTATGTCCCCGGTGGAACACACTTGCAGCGGTAGCAGCATGTCAAGCACGCCCTTATGCATACGTTTTTCCTTGAATGAAGCTGGCATCTTCTTCCACATTCTGGGTTGCAGGCTGTTTAAACATCCAAAATATCCTCAAGTTACTCGAAATAATTTGATCTTTAAGGCTCAGTTTGATGATCATTTTGTCTTGAACTAAGCTATAAACATGGGGTTATCAGAATCTAAGCCACCATTTGAAATCTAAGAGAATTCAGTGCCAGTTTTAGTAATCTTTAGTTTAGAATGCAGAAACCCAGAGGAAGTATAGATGAATGAGTGACAGAGAAGATTCTTTACCCTTGCCAATGACTGGTGGTGGCCTAGGAGCTGCAGGGGACGGCGGCTTCACTGGTGGATTCACAGGAGCCTTCGCCGGCGGAGGAGAAGACGGTGCCTTTGCCGGTGGAGAAGGAGTGTACGGTGCCTTCACCGGTGGCTTCACTGGTGGAGAAGGAGTATAAGGAGGTGGGGGAAGCTTGGCAGGTGGAACAGGGGTGTATGGTGCTTTAACTGGCGGTGGTATCAAAACAGGGGTAGTTGGTGGTTTCACAGGCGGCAGTGGCGACGGCGCTTTGTAAACTGGAGGAGAAGGAGCCGAAACTGGAACTGGGACCTTGGGGTATACAGCATCCTGTAATGTAAAACCAAACAGAAACAACGCTAAAATGAGACAACAAAACAGCAAAAAATGACAACAAAAGCAACAAATTACAATCCAAAGATCACCTTCTGTTGCGACACTCCATTGGCATTAGCTGAAACCTGCAAAAAAGACAAGAACTCTTAATCAAATCATGAATGCAAAAACCAAACTTTATGAGCACCCAACACATTAAAAGAGAAAACGAGCAATACCCATGAGGCAAGTAGAAGAAAAACGCTAAAAACAAAGCGATTGGCCATTGAGGACATTTGTCGAACAGGTTGTGAGCAAGACCCAGAACAAAGAGAAAAAACCCGATTGATCACAAGTTGAAGAGAGCAGAGAGAGGTTTAAATAGAGGCAGAAAAAAAATGGGGAGGTTCAAATTTCAAGAAGAAATAAAAATGTATATGGATGGATGGATGCCAGTTCAGATGAAGATTTCAAAAATTTTGTATTGGGGTTTGCAAAATTTAGACCCACATGCTCCATGCCAATGTAATGCATGTATACCAACCGGGAAATACTGATCTTCTTAGGAGTGTCCTTCGCTATTATTTGCTGCCTTTCCCCCACGAGCTCTTGTCTTCTCTCACCCTCTTTTGGCTTGGACTGTGTTTTGGGGATGTTTTCAGATCTTTACCAACTATGAAATACTTCTTATTGGTTCCCTTGTTTGAATATTTCACTCCCCATTTTTTAATTTCTAGTCGTTAAAAGGACGATTTCTTGTTAAATTTGGCTCTGAAGCGTTTGAATGTTTGAAGAACACGATCTTAATTAACTCGAGATTGATTCTTGCTTTTGAGTATTTGGCACAAGTTCTTAATGATCTTTAAATTTGAATGCTCGAGGTTAAGATCCTTTAGAATAATTAATTCTCGTTAAACTTGCCTCTTTCATAATTTTAACATTTAGTTCACTATCAAGCTCGAATTTGAATATCCAAAGTTTTGATCATGTTGAATAATTCATAATTAGTATAAGTTAGTACACAACGTATATCGTGGGTTCAATTGTTTGAGCTCGTGTACCACGAGTTTTCAAGATCTCAGTCTTCTTATTTTTAATTTTAAAGATCAAATTTTTTGTGCATCAAGTTAGTGACCTAAAATGTCGATCTAAGTTGTCTATAAACTCACCTCTCACGCACACCAACATTATAATGAAGTTGGGATAGATGATTACCTAGCTCGGGTCATTCTGGCTATTACAAATAATGCACCCAATTCCTTTTTATTTCATTTTTTCTTACATTTTGTACTCGAAAAAAAAAACATAATTCAACTAATTAAGACATATATATTATTGACCTAATGATCAAATATTCGAGTCTCCGTCTCACATGTTGTTGAACTAAAAAAAGATTGTCACAAAAATAATATAAAATATTAAATTTATAAATTTTACGCTTATATTAACACGTAATTTGCAAATATCAATTTATTAATCGAAATAAACAAGCATACGAACTAAAATTTTATCAGACACCCGTTTAAACTCTAATTTAGATGATAATTAAATATAAGTATTTTAGACGTTTTAAATAATATAAATGAAAATAAATATGTTAATTTTCAGTATAAAGTGTGAAAATGGTAAAAATGTTTTTTTTTTTTAATACGAACAATTTAAAAAAAATTTGGGAAATATAATTGAAGTGTGTAAATAATTTAATTAATTATTTATATGAGTTGGCAAACTTTATTTGACCTTTCTACTTTGTCAGAGTACTTGAGTATTATTTTTTTTAACCTTTTATAATATTAAATGAGATAATTACTATATTAATTGCAAAAGCTGTCACCACCAAATAAATTATTTTTCAGTCTCTCTGTACTTTTTGTTTTCTTTATATTTTTTTTTTCTAAATAAAAATTTTATCCATTAAATTGGTTAAAAAAATATTTAATTTTAATATATATATATATATATATATATATATATATATATATGCTTGTATTTCCTATAATTTTGTTTCATTCTGTAATTATTTTAAATTTTAAATTTAAATTATTTTTGTTTAAAAGAGAAGAAATAAACATAATTTTAAAAATAAAATCATTATCTAACAGAATTTTAGCATTCATAACATATAAACAGAATGATGAATATTAAGAATAAATGTTTTTTTTAATTAAAAAGTATGGAAAACAGACAATTTAATTATATTTTCTTGTTTTTTTTAAAAGAAATAAAAACATGTTTATTTATAACAATTTTATTTTTATAATTTACTTTTGCTTCTTTTAATTTTTTTATTCGTAATTTAATATTTATAAAGTATGAAAATCAAATGATTATAAATAATTAAATCATAAAAATTAAAATAAAACTATGTTTAAACCATAATAGCTATTTAACCTAAACTTTATTATTATTTTTTTTTTGTCTCTCTATTAGTGCTATATATTTAAAGCAATATCCTTTTTTTGCGAAAAAAAAATTAATTGATAATATATCAATAAACTATAAAAGAGTTCCACTTAATTTTCACCTAATTCAATTAATTAAAGCATTAATAACCTGCTTCCTCTATTAATCAATATTAAATATCTCGAGAATAAAAAGACAAATAATAAAATAATATTTTAAAATTTATTAAATAAAAGATTAAATGATTTATTAAACCTAACCTATATATTGTTTTAACATTTTAGAGTATATTAAAAATTATTAAGAACAGAATTATAAATTTTGTAATTTTAAAAAATAATAAATTTATTGAAAACAAAATAATAATAATAAAAAATATATATTGAACAGATAGGAAAGCACTTTACAGCTGGCGGAAACCAAAGTGGAGCCCACGGTCTTATGGTTAGAAAAAAGCTGGAGCCAGCCGAGCCACAGCCACTTTTCTTTCCTTTTATTTTTATTTTACTCTTTCTCTCTCTTGTTTTCTCTCTCTAGAGACACGTGACGACACGTGACGTGACATCAGTCAAACCTGTCGGCTACACCTAATCCTGCTTTTTCCATTAAAAAAAATTAAATAAAAACTTAATTAATGAGATCAGATGTTCCCACCGACTATTTACTTAAAGTCAACTCCCTCTTTCTTTTTTTTTTTTTCCCTTAATTTTTTTTAAGAATTAAAAACCATAACTTATAATTGATTTATGATTTTCGCCTTCATTTTATATGTTTATAAGCTCAACATTAACCTAAGAAATGAATTAATGC